CTAAAAAAAAGAGCAATATAGGGCTGGGGAGCCATAGGTTCCCGACCTCTGGATTAGAACAATAGAACATTTGGCTTGTCGTGTTTTTGGTCAAAGAATGTTGTTGATCCCAAAGCAAAGAACACTTGCTTGATGGTGTGCAATGTCAGTGGACTGCCAATAAATAGGATCCGGAGAGAAGCAGAACAACGGGAGCATTTTCCAAACCCTGATTATCCATTAGCTTGGACCATGTCACCTAGCAACAAATCATCGATTTTGTCCTGGACTCAGGCTAAACAGGATCTCTGAGACTAACTATCCACATAGCTGTATGATTTTCCCATTAGGGGCTACACCACTCATCAAAGTCAGTTCACATTTCTTTTCTTTGGGGGAAAAAAGGAACAATGTGGATCTTCATAGCTGACCAAAGCCTGTAAAGTGAATGTTGTGTTCTCATACGTCGGGGCTTGGCTGGCTCTTTTGGCTGCACGTTTTGCAATCAGAAAAAAAAAAAGAACCAAACATTCAAACAGTGGGTTGTAGTACAGTGTCTGACTCACTCCTCAGTGGCTATACATCTTGTTCCACTCTATACAAGTGCCTGGCTCTTTTGTGGTGCTGTGTGGGCGCACCTTGCAGAAGGCATTCTCAATGTCTGTGAAGGCTGGGGCTTTGCCATGCATTGTTCCAGTGGGGGCTGATGCTGAGGAGAGAGCGTGCTGAGTGAGCTGCAGCAGTTCCCACACAGAGTAGCCTTCAGTACGCTGCAACACCGCGCTCAGCTCTCGCTCGCTCAGACTGTAACCCTGAGGGGAAAGAGCTTGCAACAGCACCTCCCTGCGCATACACGCATCTGGCAGACCCACATGGTAGCGTTTAGCAAAGCTACGATGGAGCGCATCTTTCAGTAGATCCGGTCTGCCGGTGGTACACACGACAATCACCAAACCCGTAGTCATCTGGGCCTTCTCCAAGAAGGGTTGCAGTATCTGTTTCAGGCCCTCCTCCTCCATGGTTTCCACTTGGCTGAGCAACACTACTGATGGCTGCCTTGCACCTGCCACCTGCAACACAGACCCCAAAATGTGTTCCGCCTCAGCCTTCCCTTTTAAGGCCAACAAGGTGCCGCTCAGTCGGTACAGGGAAGCTCCAATTTGTGAAGCCAGAGAATGAGTCAAGGTTGTTTTACCCCCGCTGCGGGGACCAAACAGCAGGATGCTTCTTGGTGGCTGCATCACTTCACTGGGCCTCATCACAGGCCACAGCAGGTCCTCTTCCAAAGCAGCCTTGACGTGGTTGAGGCCAGCTATCTCGCTCCAGCTTAGGGCTGGGCTGCAGTCCAAAATCTTCTCGTCGATAAGGTCCAACACATGTGGGTCCGGACTCTTCAGAGTGTCAACAGTTGGACCGCACAATGAAGAGCGTTTGTGGACTTTAGAGCGCTGTTGCTGCTGCTGCTGCTGCTGCTGTGTCAAAGCTTGCTCCTCCATGGCGTTATCTCCTGTCATTCCAGCAGGAGGACTGTACTCCCCGGCTTGCCCATACTGAGAAGTTACCAGTGGCTGCGAGGAGGGCTTGCTGGGCTTAAACTCTTGTGGGTCTGTGCTGCTTGCTGAATTGCCGAAGCTGTTTCTGTGACACTCTGCTTTGTCACTCACACTGTATGGTGAGGTTCCTCCACCTTTCAGTGTGTCATAGCTGTATTTCTTGTAACAAGTGCTGTCCCCAACTTCATTCCCTTCTACAGCCCTCTGAAATGCTTTTCTTTTCAATGGCCCACCAGACTCCGATGTGCCAATGTGGGTGGTTTGGTAACTGTAGCTGCCCCCAACCACCGCAGGCCTGGGGGCAACAGGAGTCGGTGCTGGCAGACCTGAAGGCAAGTATGTTGCAGAGGCATGGTTATAGCTGGTGGCAAGGCTGTTCTGGGGAGGGTATGTGCTGTGGGGGTAGCTGTAGACAGGCGAGCTATAACTCGGGGTGGATTGAAGTTTATGAAGGGAGGCAGGAGGAAATGCTGCACCGGGTTGGGGACAGTATCCAGCTGAGAGATAGGTGCCGCTGTAGCTGGAGGGGTAGTCGTTGGAGCCACTGCAGGAGCTGCCGCCACTGTAACCGGAGTCTGAGAGGTTGCTGCTCACCACCGACACACTGCTAATTCCAGCAGGGCCTGCGCTTGTGACCGCAGCCTTAGAAGTGGAGAGGTTGTCATCGCCTCCAGGGGCAACAAGGGAGTAGGAGCCATCGGAGCTGTGCGTCAATTGCCAGGGCTCCAGTTCAGTCTTCTGGCCGCTGAGGCCCCCAAAGGTACCTGGCTCTGGGTAGGTGCCCACAGCAGGTGGCTGCTCGTACGCTGAATCCATTCCGCCGGAATACTTCTCGGCGTAGCGCTTCAACAAATTGGAAGCCGTGAGGGCGGAGATGTCGTCGTTGGCCCAAGAGTAATTGTAGGAGCTCCGACTACGGCCAGAGTAGAATTCCGACTTGTGTGCCGGAGAGGAGGTGGTGGAGGAGACGTCCAGGTGTTGCTCAGGCCACTGGCTGAGGGACTGGGCATGCTCTGGGTTCCAGTGCATCTTTAATAAGCCTGACACAAAAGAAAGCAGTTGTTGTCATGGTGTTCAACAATGTTTTCCTTCTATGAAAGTGACAATAGGGACCATTCCCAACAAACATGCTTTGTTGCCTTCTGGTTAGGGAAACATTTCGAACAAATTGAACATTTTATTGGCAATCTGGTATAAAGCAAACAGAGCAGTCCAGTTGTGACTAATTCAATTATGCCCTTCAATTATGTAGATGAATGAAAATATCTACAAACAATCTACTATAATCATGATACATTTAAACTGTGTGTTTGTTTGGATTGTAGCAAGTATGACCATCCCCACACAACACGAAAAGGTCTCATCCATCCATCCATCCATCCATCCATCCATCCATCCATCCATCCATTATCTGATCTGCTTATCCTCAGAAATATTGCGGGCGTGCTGGAGCCTATCCCAGTTGGCTTCGGGCAGTAGGCGGGGCACACGCTCAACTGGTTGCCAGCCAATCGCAGGGCACACATACAGGTAGACGAAAAACCATTCCCGCTCACAGTCACACCGAGGGACCATTCGGAGTGTCCAATTAACCTGTCATGTATGTTTTTGGAATGTGGGAGAAAACCGGAGTACCTGGAGAAAACCTTCGCAGGCACGGGGTAAACATGCAAACCCCACACAGGAAGGCCAAAGCCCAGAATCAAATCCATGATCTCTGCTCTGTGTGGTGGACGAGCTAACACTTGATCACCGTGCCGCCAAGTAGCCCGTTTATGTTATGTGAAATCCCCCCCCCCCCCAAAAAGATTTTTTGTTTGTTTTTGTTTTAAGGTATGTCAAAAAGATTTATTTCATAGAAAAAAAACAAGAAAAAAACATTATTATTCATTATTAAAATTCACATCCGATTGAGTGGCAAAACTGGGTGTCATTTTTATGCTCAGCAGGGTTATGGGTATCTGCTGAATGAAATAACGCTCATTCATCAGAAATCGACAACCAAAACCAAGTAATCAAGTAATCATTTAAGGAACTGAGCAACTTTTTGCAGCAAGTCATCAGTGAAGTAACAACGTTACTTTTTCAAGGTAACTGTGGCATCACTGTTTACTAGTAATTTGAGCCTACTACAGCACAGTGAGAAGAAAAACTTTTGCCTCCCAGTCAAGAGGCCTTTGGGTTGAATCTTGATTGTGGCATTTCCTGTGTCGTCTTACTCCAGTTTACTCCCATTTTCCCAAAACATACTTCGTAGATTATTTGAAGACTCTGAATTGTTCATAGCTCTGTGAATGTGTGTTTTCCTAAATGTGCCCTGTGATTGACTGCCAACCAATCCACAGTGTACCCCTCCAAAGTTCGCCTGAAACGACTCTGAGGTCACTGCAGCGCTAATAAGGATGCACTGATGATTTGTTTTGGCCTTTAGCAGCACCATTGCCCTGCGCTGTCCTAGCAGAATTTGCTCGCTTTGATCAAAGAAGGAGAGGATGCTGCAGCGAGAAAGATGGGAGTGTAATGGGACAGAGGTGAAAGCAGATTTGCAGGCTGCATGTGTGCTGTGAAATTTTCCCAGCCTTTGGTTTGTTGGAGCACGAATAAGTTCCCATTATGATTTCATGTATACTGCCGGCATCTCGGCCTCCCGGTTATAGTGATCTTCATGTTGCGCTGAATGGCTCCTCTCTCCGCCCTGCACCCCCTTTACCACCCACCAATACATTCACCCACCCACCCAGCATACACAAGAGCTGCACAGGCCCCGTGGCCGGCTGGACAGAGGGAGGGGTGGGGTGGTGGACAGTGGTGTAGAGAGAGTGTGAAAGACAGATTGGGAGTGTGGCGCGGGTGTCGGGGTGGAGGGTGAGTTTAGAAGTGCAGCACAGAGTGCTATTCATCAGCACAGTTTGCCATGGAACATTGGAAAAATGGAATGCGTGTTCTTTTGGCAGAAGGACATTGGCCTGACTGGAAAGTAGATTTGTTTAATCAATAGAACCCACTGCAAGTGCGTAATTTTCCGAAAGAAAATCATGGCATAGCAAAGGAGGGGGCCGCAAGCGTACCTGTGTGCCTTGCAAATAAATCAAAATGCTATTTTCAAATAACCAATCAAACTGCATACATTGTGTGCGCCACCACTTTCAAGTGTTATCACAACATAAAGACGCATGCTACCTCATGCTGTGGCGCTACCTTGACATTCCACAAATAACTTGGCATTATTGAACTGTCACGTATCAGCCTGAGGAGGAGTCAGAAAGCAATTGAGAGAGAGAGAGCAAGAGTGAGAGAGAGAGAGAACTACAAAAAAAAAAAAAACTGCCGCGCCACTACTGGCCTTACTGCTTTTCATGATGATTCATTATTCATGGCTGTCTGTGCTTGTGGAGCCAAGCTTCTTAATGCCATCTAAATCAAATATCGATATCTGCAGCCGGAGGTTCCGCTCACTGTTCAGCTTTGGCCTCCTCCTTACTCTTTATCAAAACCTCTGTATGTGTGTGTTATCAGATTACGCACGTTATTTATTCAGTCAGATGAGACAAGGCGACCAGATGGCTGTGGGATTATCACGTCCTTCATATTCAAATCCACTGCCTCAAATTCCCAATGGCCAAAGTAGTTCAAGTACTTCCCTTAAGCTTTCGTCTCCACCACCCGCCATGGCCGAGACTCACCAGAACCGCTTCTCACACTCATCAAGCCTGAGACACCCCATTGAGCATCCACGTTTGTGGACTGAATCGCAACTCTGTCCGGGCTGCGGAAAGCATATATGTCCTGCAGGGCCTTCCCATCTGCAGCCTAACCGGTTTGTGTGCTGCCCCAGTAATAGGGCCCGTGTGTGACAGAGATGGATGAGAGCCCAGGGGAGCTCATAAAACCTGCAGCAAGAAGGGAGGCATGGAAGGAAGGCGAGTGGAAAGGAGGGGAAAGTCGACAGCAGGCTACGTCCTCTCTAAGCAGGCCGGAGCAGGCTTTAGAGGACTCATTGGGGCAGGCTAACTGCTGTCCTCTCCATCATCAACGTACTGCCATTGCAGAATGAACTTCTTTCACAATAAATCCCCGACACCCCAACCCCTTCCCCCCACCGACGGGAGTGGTAGACAGCAGCCCATATGCACCTCAGGAACTGTTCAAAAGGAGAATCATTATTACTCTGTGAAGATGTATACTTTAGTTTGTTATGCATGCGCTGCACTCGATGTCGCATGGAGTCACGTCCAGAGCATGAAGAATCCAAAAACTCAAATCTACAGTGGCGCTGTTGTGTAGATGGATTCACTGCGGAAACTGGTATTACAATTCTCTAAATCAGGACAATGTGCACATTGTGTCATTAGACTTGGTTCAGGCTGCAACATGAGGTGTTCTATTTTAAACCAGTGTTACGAGACCGCCTTTAAGAAACACATTAACTTACAAGGGATTAAAAAAAAAAAACGTATGTTGCACATTGATTTCAAACATCATTAAAGGCAAGTACTAAAAACATGTTACGGTGTAGCGTTGCTTCGATAAGGTTGCGGCGAGACGTTAAGATGAATAAATATAATAATAATACAAATATCTGTATGCTTGTACATTGAGGACAATCAAGGTGATTACGTCAAGTGGGTTTCAAGTGCACTGAAAAAAATAGGATAAAACTTCATCTGTGGGCCATTTTTATGATTTTTTTTTTAAAAATTAGTTTTGAATTTGCACAGTAGATGAACTGTATTGACTGGGCAGTGATGCATGGGGCTCAAAGGGTTGCAAAAATGTATTTTTTTTTAGCAAAGCTAGGCACATTCATTTCATTTGGGACGCACACGTGCACCTTATTTCACTGTCAAAATCAACTTATAAAACCGGATGTTAAAAAAAACAATCATTGAAGAGATAAAAATGTGAATAGTTTTCATCACTTTAGAAATTTACTTGTACTTTCTAGATTTTCATACATGCAGTTGTCAGATTCCTCCTCACTGTGAACGCATAAATCCACTCATAAAATGCTGTGAAATGCCATTTAAGAAGATGTGAACTGTATATTTATGTTTCAAAAGGTGACATCCATGTGTTTTTTTTTCATGACTAGTTGTGTACTTTTAGATGCTACAAACACATTTGCATGCGGCAGGCATCCCTAATGGTGCACTTCTGTCAACGCTACTCGGGATCGAGAAGAAGCTGCATTTCACAAACAATATCAATCAAACGGCCAACAATATAATTGGAAAATTTTACTCACTGAACAGACGCACTGCTGAAGTTTTTGTGATTGGCTTTAAATAAACATTTGAACACACGCCTCTTTCTGCTGACCAGTGACCTCAGCTGGCTGCAAGGAAATTGATAAAAAGCTTGAGGACATGCACATTAAAACTTTCCATTGCATGCATGAGTGTCTCATGGTCCCAGGGGGGACAGATGTTCCTCTGTGGACTGCCTTACTGTCTGCGCTGCCATTGTGGCAGTAGAGCATCCAGCAGGCGCGCGCGACTTGGACAATCGCATTGGCCCTGAGACAAAGGCTGAAGGATCCTATTGTTGGAGGCCTTTCTAATTATGGAAATCTTATTAATCTATTCAGGAGCAGTCCACAGAGAGCTTTTGTGCGAGCCTGGGATTTATCGAGGGAGCAGCGTGAGCTGCATCCTTTTGTCGACGTGCGTGATGAAGACGCAACTCACTTTGGCCAAAATCAGCCTTGTGGACGGCCTGCAGTTCAAACTAGACCCAGGGCCTTCAGCTCATGGTTTCTGGAATGTGGCCTCAAGAAAGTGACGACGTTTACATGCACAAATGAACAGTGTGACTGGCAGTAAATTCAGTCTGTACATCTTACAGTACACTGCTCTGTTAAGTCCCACTTTTGCGTCGCTTGCTGTATTACATTTGAAGAGGATGCACGGGAAGCAGTTTAAGAGTCCGCGGAAAAGAAGCAAACACAGAGGCAACCAGGCTAGGCTGCCTGCTTGCCCACAACGGTCCCACAATACCATCGCTCTTCCTGCCTCCTCTTTGCTCATTAGACATGAAATGA